GAGAGCCACCCTGGGACCCAGAGGACACCCATTCCCCGCCTTTAACCCCATCCCCAAAATCTCGTGAGAATGTCTCTGGCGCCTAGGAGGCCCAGTTGGACAAGGCCATTTCCCAAAACAGCATGAGGCAAAGTTGAGTGTGACCTTCGTGCAGCTTCTAGCACCCCCCAATGCCATTGGGTATAAATACAAAATGTTGGGGGGTGGGATGGGGGCTGCAAGCAGAGAAGGAGGAGGAGAATGCACATGGCCCCCTTTCCCTCACCTCACTCCCCATCCAAGCCTCCCCCTGAGAATTGTGCTTCCTCGGGCAGAAGACTGGACGCATCCCAGAAAGAGCTCAAGAGAAAGGGACCCTGCACGGTTGGCATTTACCTATGGGGCGGGGCACAGCCAAGCCACCAGCTAGCGGGAGCCTCAGACCTCGGCATCTGGTGACTGCCTGTCCTGCCTCCCAGCAAACAGGTCCGCTGGGGCAGCTCCTCCTGAAAAGAGGAGGAATGAGACTAGGGGCCATATGGACTTGTGTGTCTCTTCCCCATTCTTGCCCTCCCCCTAGCCCCTACTACCAGGTAGCACTGTATCTCTCACCTCTAAAGAGCAACTGCATCAATGCAGAAACCACACTGCGCTCATCCCGATTCCTCACAAGCCCGAGTCCAGACCCCTGGGATAAGATATGCATCCATGTCTGAGCACTAGCTGATGACAACCTTGGAGCTGATGAAGCTACACTATCACGATCTAGAGGTTGGGCACTATTACCCAGCCCTAGCCGGTTTGGCTCAGTGGACAGAGCCTGCAGACAGAAGAGTACCCGGTTGCAGGCTCCTCCCCAGCCTGGGCCCTGGCTGGGGCTCCTGTAGGAGGCAGCCAGTGGATGTGTTTCTCTCACATGGATATTTCTCTCTGCGTCTTTCCCTCTCTAGTCCACTCTCTCTAAAAATCAATAGGGAAAAAAAGTCCTTGGGTGAGAATTAAAAAAAAAACAAAAAACAAAAACCCTACTAGCCATAGTCCAAGGTGACCTGGGGGTTCTGAAGAGAACATGGAAGATTATTTATTTCTTAGGCATTATCCATCCCTTATTCCTGAGAGAAGAGGGAACCCTTTTTAAAAAAAATTCCCCACGTATGGACTCTTCTTTCAGAAGCTGGTGCCTTTCTGATCTACCACGGGACTAGACATGGCGAGCAAATCCCGTTTTAATGAGACCCTTCTGTGCTCTGTAGAGATTAGCTTCCAATGAGGTGACCAGGAGGGACTGTTTCCCCCACCAGGCACACAGGCTCTGGAGCCCTCAACCCCAACCTGAGCCAGAGGCCCCAAGAGCTAAGTCCTGGCTCCCTCTTCCTGCCCCCTCACCAGCCATTACTGGGGATGCGGAGGTGGAGGGGGTGATAGACCACAGCCCAGCAGAGGGCTCTCCTACATCACTCCTCCACCCCCTCTACCTGCTTCATCTTGCGTTGGGGAGGAAAGGGGAGCCTGGGTTGGGACCACCTCCCCAGGAGGCATGGGCTGTTGCAGAAGGGCTGGCGACAGATGGCACTTACCAAGGTGGGGAGTGGCAGAGGCTGGCAGCCTGGGCGAGAGGGGCTGGGGAAGATGGCAGGAGCCCTGAGTCCAGCCACATGGAAGGAGCAATCCTTCGCCCAAATGTCCGTTCCGGCCTTTGGGGGAGGGGATGAGGGATGGCCATTTAAGAAGATAAAAACATGTAATTAGATGCCCATTTTTTCTTCTGGCCGTAGGCTCCGATACAGCTTGCACAGTGCTGTGGTATCCTGGGTGATTTTATTTCATTTGATTAGGATTTTGCTCATTATGGATTTTTTTTTAAAGCATTAGTTTTTATTTTTTTTTTAAAAATTTCATTGAATTGTTATGTATTTTTTAAATATATATTTTATTGATTTTTCACAGAGAGGAAGAGAGAGATAGAGAGTTAGAAACATCGACGAGAGAGAATCATCCATCAGCTGCCTCTTGCACACCCCCCACTGGGGATGTGCCCGCAACCAAGGTACATGCCCTTGCCCGGAATCGAACCCGGGACCCTTCAGTCTGCAGGCCGACGCTCTATCCACTGAGCCAAACCGGTCCCGGCATGAATTGTTATGTATTTTTATTATTGAGAGTTTTGGGCACTCCCCCCCCTTACAGGCTGTGCTGCAGGTACGTGTCTCTCTCGCCTCACCCTAACCCTGACCGTGATGGCAGGGTAGCTTCACACCTTCAGTTTTCTCTTTAGGTCATAACTGGACCCAATTCAGAGGGAAGGAAACGGCAGTAAGAGAGCAGAAGCAAATGCTTTCTGATTAAAACAAGTAGAGTAGCCCTGACCGGTTTAGCTCAGTGGATAGTGTCAGCCTTCGGACTGAAGGGTCCCAGGTTCAGGTCAAGGGCATGTGCCTTGGTTGCGGGGGGTGCAGCAGGTGGCTGATTAATGTTTCTTGTCTCATGGATGTTTCTGACTATCCCTCTTCCTTCCTCTCTGTAAAAAGTCAATAAGATAAATTAAAAAAAAATAAGACAACTGGAGTAGCCCATCTGAGGGAGAAGTAGATACAAACATAAATTAGGAGCAAATGCCTTTATAAAAATATATATGTGTGTGTGTCAATTTTCCCTGTAAGCAGCAGTTTTGTCTTCACCCAAAGTTTTGAGTTTAAACTTTCTACTTGTTTAATGCGAGGCTAGGCTGTGGGGTTACAGGGATGAAAAAGACTGAGAGTTGAGTCTGGGGAGAGAGCCAAGCAGAGAACAACGGACTTCAGCCCAATTCTGTACGTGCTGTAAGTGCCAGCATGGATAGTTTGGAAGTCCAGAGATATAAGTACGCAGTGGGGGCTGTGTTTGGCTTTTGCTGGCAGTGTCTCCTTTGTATCTTCATGTATGGAGATGACGGAGTGTCCCCATGGCAATGCCCCTGCCATGGAAAGAGTCCTCTTACATTTCCCCGGAGAAGGGGCACAGCCAGGCCACGCAGGGCCACAGCAGAGTGTCAGGCCTTGGTCAGGAGGCAGAGTGGGAGGGGGAGAGGAGGGGATTAGCTCGGAGCCTTCATTGGGTCTGCACTGGGAAGGCAGGGCAGAGTAAACAGTTTGGAATTGGCTGGTGGGAAGAGTACATGTGGGATTGGGGGCTCAGGGGAGCTCTCCAGTTGCCTTGTGCCTGGACCTGGGGTGATTGAGAGCAGGGGAAGCATTAGCTTGGTGTGTGAGTGTTAGATAAAAGGGGGTGGCTGCTTGCCTACGAGAGGTGTACTCCCAAGTGAGTTGCTTGCTATCTTTAGGATTTAGCTAGCCCTAGCAGGGTAGTCTATTCCCATTTTTAGGATGTCAAAATCGTAAGATACCAGAAAATAAACATGGTTTATATCCCGTGGAGGGGGAGGGAAAGGTAATTAATATTAGACAAAACTATAAAGCATTAATGATATGGTTGGTGTACGGAGGAAACTGAGTGGGATTATTTTGGAAGTTGGGAAGATCATTTCACTTTTCTAAATAATTGGGAGGAAAATGTGGAACACTCAGTGATGTGTGTGTATGGATGTATGTATGTATGTGAAGGCTTGAAAAATGAACATGTATTGGACCCTGAGCTTCATTGCCATCCATAAGCCACCTGGCTTTTAGAGTGAGCGGGCTCTGGAGTTAGGCATTGTGAAGCAGTCCACACCCCCACTTCTGGAAAAGGACGTGACCTGTGTGAAGTAGAGGTCTGACTGCAGGCCCCAAGCCCCGACACCTCCCTGCCTTGGAAAAGCAAAGAAAAATAAGAAATCAGGTAAGATAAACGATGTTCTCTCCAGCTCGCAATTCAGACACTTCTCCCTCTCCCAGTCCCGCTTTCATACCTACCACCTTGGCAATATATTTAATATGTTTAATATTCAATTATGCCCCAGGGTGGTGGTAGTGGGGGGAATGTTCCACTCACCCTGTATCACCTGGGTGCTTAACCCTCCACATAAACAAAACAAAAATCCATTGACTGCACACTCTGCATTGCTCCAATTGCCGTAAAATAACCACGGCGACCCAGTGGCAGCGGCTGACCCTTAGAGTCAGTCCGGACACACCTGTTACTTGGGGTTCAAATGCTCCCTCATGTCCCCCGTGTGGGAGGGGAGCGCCCCAGGCGCCTCTGGGTGACTCCTGCCCCTGCTCCGTGGGACGGGGCTGGGAGGCGCCTCGCTCTGTGCCAGGGACACGAGGACAGAAGAAGGTCGAAGCGGGAACAGGAAGGGCTTCCAGGTCGGAAAACGAAGAGAAGCGATGGGTTTGGAGGCCCAGGGAGGAGAGGATTTAGCGTGAGATTTGGGGCGAAGCTTTGAGGATGCGAGGTGTAAAATTTCGCATGAGGGACTGGAGGCTGAACATGTTGGAACATAGACTGGAAGGGGGCCGGGCGGGCCAGTTTGTTTGTTTATTTATTTATTTAAAAATATATTTTTATTTATTTTTAATTATTTTTAATTATTTTTAAATTTAGTTTTATTTATTTTTACAGAGAAGAAGGGAGAAGGTTAGAGAGTTAGAAACATCCATCCGCTGCCTCCTGCACACCTCCTGCTGGGGATGTGGCTGCAACCAAAGTACATGCCCTTGCCTGGAATCGAACCCGGGACCCTCCAGTCCGCAGGCCGATGGATGCTCTACCCGCTGGGCCAAACCGGGTAGGACCACGGCCAGTTTAGAGACCCGAATGGGACGGGAGAGACCAGCGACCTCAGGGGCTGCCGAGCTCGCGCCTCCGGGACAAGCCGGCATTCGGGACGCAGAGGGATCCTGCGGCGCGGGCGCCAGCGGGAGGAGCGGTGGGCGGTGCCTTTCATTGGCCACGCCCCACGACCCGCCCAATGGGCGGGGCCCGCCCGGCAGTTACATAACAAACCTGAGCGAGTCGCTGAGGAGCGGCGCCCGCGCCGGCGGCGGGGGCGGGGCGCAGCCGGGCCTGGGCGGGGCTAGGCCTGCACCGGGCCAGGCAAGATGGCCGCCGCGGAGCCCGAGTCCGCGCCTCTGACCCTAGAATCGCTGCCCACCGACCCGCTGCTCCTGATCCTGTCTTTCTTGGACTACCGGGACCTCATCAAGTAATGGGGGGCGGCGCGCGTGGCGCGGCAGGGGCGGGGTCACGGGGGCGGAGGAGGCGGGGAGGCTGCAGGCACGGGGCCCGGCTCCCGGACCTGGACCTGGACCTTGCACGGACCAGAGGTGATGCGGGGCCGCGCTCCTGCAGAGCCACCCGAGGAGCCAGGGCGAGGCAGGGGCAGTCAGGGCGTCCCCTCCGCCGTGAGGTCTTCCATCCGGGACCCAGACCCCAGGAGCGCCGGGAGCCCCGTCTCCCAGGCCTCGGGGAGGCTCATTTCCGGGGCGAGGGAGGTACTGCTTCCCCCTGCCGCCCCGCGACCCCCCGCACCCCGCAGCCCGCAGCCCGCAGCCCGCACCCCCCGGCCTGCACCCGCTGCGTCCCAGCCCTGGCCGCTTTGGGAAGACCCTTTGGGACCGGACCAGGCAGGCGGGGCGCCGGCCCGAAAGGAGCCGGGCGACCCCCGACCCCAGGTGCCCAGCTGCGGCTCCCGCGCACCTTTGTACCTGGCGGGCGCCGCGCACCTAGGACTTCTCTGCTGCCGCCGCTGCAGAGCTCGCCCTGCTCCCAGCCGTCCTCCTCGCTGTCACACGGTGCATTTGGTGGTTTCGGTACTGACTTCCCTTGGGTTGGTGCGATACAGGTGACCGCTTTCTCCCCGGTGCGCGTTGGGTCGCCCGGATTGCTAGCATCTTGTTCCAAAAATAACACCGCTTGCGGGCTGGGGTGGTTCGGTGCCCAGTTCCTTCAGCGCTGAGACTGTGTGGGATGGAGGAGGAAGAAATGGCGCTGTTTACACCCTGGACAGCTGGTGGCATGGCTCTGTCCTTTCTGTGTGTGTGCGTGCTGCCACAGCTGGGGAAGAGGAGGTGAAGGCGCCCTCTTAAGGATGGGTAGGCGAGATTCAGGTTTTTTGTTTGTTTGTTTGTTTGTTTGTTTTTAATTAGCTGTTGGATTTTGGCTGTTTGATGATGGTGCCTGTGTTATCAGGGGTCCTTTCAGAAGTAGAGCCTTTTTGGAGCTGCTGGTAGCTGTTGGTTGGCCTCTCTGAGTCGTGACGGAGGGATGACTCCAAGTGTCTGGCTGTAGTCCCTGTAACACTTATTTTTTTTTTTTTCCTGAAAACAATTTTTTTTTTTTTTTTTTTTTTTTTTTTTTTTTTTTGTCTACAGGCCGGTACTAATGCCGAGATAAAGTTTCTCTTTCCTTTGGGAAAGGCTGATCCAGCTGTAGACTGTCTTCCTCTGCAACGTTCTGTTGCGATAGCCTCTTAGAAATCGAAGGTAGACACACACCCTTCCGGTCTAAGGACTACATTGCTGCAGGGTGAACTTTCTAAGACAGATCTTACTGTCATTCTCTAAAAACTTAGACGCCCCTTGTTTGCAGACTGTAATCTACATTTCTGGAAGCATTTAAGACTCTCAGCATTTGGCTCAGGGCGCTGTAGCCAAACCAGACTTTTGCCAGCACACTAGCTGCTTGTGTTCTGTGGCTTCAGCTCTTGACCTTGCCCGCAATGCCTTGTCCCCCTCTTCCCATCCTGGCAAGATGAAATTTCTTTAAGACCCCCTCACTTGGTTCCTTTCTCTTTACTTCTTTCTCTGCTTATTTGCCATGCCAGATGGGTTGTACACTTCTTAAATGTACTGACTGTCTTGTTTATCTTTGTAATGATCATTTATTCACAGATTTTTTTTTTTTAATGCCTGTTGTGTGCACCAGTCCATTAAATGTCTTGGATACAATAGTGAGGAAAGCAGATAAGGCCCCTCTCAGGAAGTTTACAGTCTAGTGGGAAAGATGGAAAACAAGTGCAAATACAAGAGATGCTAAGTGCTATGAAGGATATAAATCAACCACTCTGTTAGGGAATGAGAGGGAGAGACAATTCCCATCGGAAGGGGCTGCCATGTATGAAGGACGCCATAGAGCAATCCTGGCAGAGGGAGCAGTGTGCTCAGCAGCTGATTGGCCAGCCGCATGGCCTGTTGGAGGAGCTGGAAGGCCGGTGTTGCAGCGGGTAGGGAGTGACTCAGGCAGAGTGGCTTGAGAAAGAGCTGGTGAGCTCATGTAGGACCTCGGGAACCGAGGTGAGGAGGTCAGATTTTATTGTAAATGCTTTAGGTAGTAATCAAAGTTGTAAACAGATGTGACAGGATCCCTCCATAAATGTTTATGAAAGTGAGCTGAGTTGAATACCGTATTTGGGTTCTTGAGAGAAAAAGAAGGTGTGTGTGTGTGTGTGTGTGTGTGTGTGTGTGTATGTGTGTGACTTATTGGCTCATGAATCATGGAGGCTGAGAAGTTCTACTATCTGCCATCTGCAAGCTGGAGACTCAAGACAGCTGGTGGGATAATTCCAGGGGCTGAGAGCTGGAGGGCCCATGGTGTAGATGCCAGCCTGGGTCACAAAGCCTGAGAGCCAGGCACGCCAAGGACAAAGAATATCCCTGGCTCAGCTCAAGCTGTCAGTCAGAGAGCGGATCTAACCTTCCTCTGCCTTTTTGTTCTAGTCAGGCCCGCACTGGATTCCATTGGGGAAGGTCACCTGGCTCACTTAGTCTATCCATTCAAACGCTAATCTCTTCCAGAAACATCCACACAGGCACAACGCGGAAATAATGTTTAACCAGCTAGCGAGGCATCCCTGAGCCCAAGCAAGTGGACACCTAACATTAACAAAAACCAATGAATTTTACCCACAGAAAAGTTTCCAATGCACCGCAGCTTCTTTCCTGCGCTATATTCCTTTTTAGAAAAATACAGCCCGACTTTGTCAAGTGTCCTGCTCTTTGCTAAGCTCTGAAGTTTTTGGTGCATATTGCTGTGCGGGATTAGGTTGGATTGGATTCATTGTGTATTATAATAGCAACTGCATAGTTTGAATCTCCTTTTCCCTTCTAGGGTGATTTATTATGTACCAATCATTCTTAACCCTCAGTGTGTATCAGAATTACATGTGGCACTTTTTAAACATACATGTGCCTGAGGTAAAGATCTTGCCCCAAGCAAACTGAGTTGGAATCTCTAGAGCAGAAGTTTCCATCTTTGCTGTGCATCAGAAGCACCTTGGGTGCTTGTTTCAGAGATTCCTTTATGTTGTTTAACTCTTGAGACAGAGGAGAAGGATCAAGAAAAGAGGATGCTGAGTTATAAAACCGGACAGATTCAGTGTTTGCAAATGTTCGTTTGGGGATCTTGTGAGCTTGGCAGAAAAGGGTGAGGTTGGATTTTGTGTAAAATCTGAAAATTGAGGAAAAGTTTTTACATGGCCTTGACAAACCCCATGTGATTTAAGATTCCATTCATTGATGAACCATGGCCCAAGTGAGATCTTTGAATACTATTTTCTATAACTTGTGATTCCTCTTCTGAAAAGATAGAAATCCATTTTCCTAATCTTAGGCACATCCTTTTTGCAAATTAAATATGAAGAGTTGGATTTACGAGATAGGAACACTGTTGTATTAGGACATAGTATAGCACTGGCCGGTGTGGCTTAAAAACATATTTTTTAAAAGAACACAATGTAGAATATAATATGTAACAAGGGATTTGTTTCTAACATTCCATGCTTTTGAGCAGTTGACACTAACTTGAATAGCTATGGCTATTGAAATAGAATTGTTATGATGGTGACACTTTATAGATGGGTTCTCCAATAGTTGGTGTAATTAATAAGTAGTTTTAGCTGCAATATTTATTTCTTTTAAGAAAAATTAGAACAAGACAAACAAAAGTCTGTGTATTAATATAAAAGGTCTCACAGATCTTAAAAATACACACACTGAATAACACTCTTCCTGTGGGCAGAAATGATTATCATCACAAGGAGTGAAGGAAGGCTCTTTGATTTGAAATTAACTCCAGTGATTTATATATTTTGTAGACTTCCATAAGAAAATTACCATTGTAGAGATTTGGGGGTTTATTTGTGAAATCAAATAAGATTTCAACACTCAAAAGGTAATTATACTAGCTAACACATTAAACATATTTTGAAAATACTGTTTTGTAATTATAAGGGTAGAAAGTGGAAAAGGAGAAAAGCAAAAGGAATAGAATAAATCTTAACGTTGAATATTTTCATCTTGAATTTTAAATTGTTTTCTTTCTTTCTTTCTTTCTTTTCTTTCTTTCTTTTTTTTTTTTTTAATACTAATTGTGAACCTGGTTACTGTCAGTTGTTGCTACGTCAGTCGAAGACTTAGCCAGCTATCCAGTCATGATCCCCTGTGGAGAAGACATTGCAAAAAGTACTGGCTGATATCTGAGTGAGTATTCAGGAAACATGTGTTCTTCAAACTTGGCCCTGGGCTTCTAAAACGCTAGTCTATCCGGGTTCTCCTCTGACCCCTCTCTCTGTCTTCTTTGGTGGCTCTTCCGTGCCTGCCACTAAGTGCTGGTGTTCTCCCAGCTTCTGGCCTTGGCCCCTGCCCTCTTCCCTCTGAGCTCTCCGGCATGCTCTGTGACTGCTGTGTGCTGCTCACTCCCAGCCCTGGCTGTCCTCCCTGACAGCCCCACTGGGCTCCGGGCTTATTGCACAACCTCCCGCTGGGCCTCTCCACTGGATGTCCCATAAGGGCTCGTGGATTCAGTAAATACTAATAGATTTGGCAGAATGAAAGTGTAGATAACAGAAGATGGAAGTTGGGAAAAGTGAAAGAGGGTAGGATTGCTATCTTTTTCTTAGATTGAGGGGAATTGGATAGTGACTGAAGTTGTAAAGCAAGAAGTAGAGGTTTAAGTGTGTCATTGGAAGTAGCAAGTTACTCAGTAGAACTGAATATTAATAACAGCTATCAAACATTGGGAGGAGGGAGAATGGAGAGGAGCGAATTTTAAGTGTTGCTGTATCCTGATCTTTTTTGTTTGTTTTGTTTTTGTTAATCCTCACCTGAAAACATTTTTCCATTGATTTTGAGAGAGAGTGGAAGAGAGGGGGAGAGACAGAGAGAAAGAAACATCAGTGTGAGAGACACACATCAATTTGGTTGCCTCCCACACACATACTGCTCATGGCCTGGGGATGGAACCAAGGCTGAGGGCCGACACTCTATCCACTGAGCCAGACCATCTAGGGCTATCCTGATCTTTTACTGTAGTGTATCAATAGATAGATGTGAAATTGATAAATCAAGAATTAGAGACATAAACATTTAAAATTACAGAGGTAACTTCCAGAAATAACTAACATTTCCTTTGAGAGGTTGAGCTTCATAATTTCTATGGTACTTTTTTTGGTTTTGATAAATATGTATGTATATATTATTTACACTAATAAAAAAAATACTACCCCCCCCCAAAAAAAAAAAAAAAAAAAAAAAAACACACACACACAAAACACACCAAACAAATCCTGAACTGTCCTTTTCTCCATTTTTGAACCTGATCATCCTACATTCCTGGTCTTCGGGCAGCACCTTCCATCCACTTGAGCTTCTAAGCCCAAACCGGGAATCATCCCACATCTCTCCTCTCCTCTCTCCCTTCCTGTCTTCCTCCCCCTCTCTCTGCTTCCTTCCTTCTTTCCCTCCCTCCCTCTCTTTCCATTTATTCAGTTACTAAACCCTTCTGATTTTGCCTCTATATTTCTTGAATCTTTCTACTCATTTCATCCAGCTACCAGTTCAGTTCATCATCTCTTACTAGGATTACTGCAAAACCCTCCTGACTCATCTCTGAGCCTCATCTCACACCCCTCCCACACCATAACCACAATTCTGTCTTTGAACTACCACCCTGTTAAAACCCTTCCGTGGTTCTTCATTTCCTGCAGGATATTAGCATGTTACCTTAAGGCCCTTTGTGGCTGTCTTATCTTGTATCACTTCTGCCTGATATTATTCTTTCTCTCTGATAGAGAGATAAGACTGCATTTTTGAGGGTAAAAGATATGCCTTATTTTAATGTCCTCTAGTGGCTAAGTAGACAATAAATATTTGTGGAATTGTATCAAATCTGAATGTTGAATTATGTGATTGCTATGATGCTATTTGATCTCTGGCTGATCCAGTATAGGTAAATTAAATTAATATTATTGTGTCATTAGATTCCAAATATTTTCTAAAATTGAACAACTACAGTTGACCCTTGAACAGCTTGGGTTTGAACTACACAGTCCATTTATCTACAGGTGGTTTTCAATAACTATTGTACATTTATTTTCCTTATGATTTTCTTAACATTTTCTTTTTCTTAGCTTACACTATTATAAGAATACAGTATATAATACATATAATATACAAAATATATGTTAATCAATTGTTTATGTTATCAGTAAGGCTTCAAGTCAACAGTAGTTGTTTCTTTTTAAATATATTTTATTGATTTTTTACAGAAAGGAAGGGAGAGGGATATAGTGTTAGAAACATCGATGAGAAAGAAACATCGATCAACTGCCTCCTGCACATTCCTACTTGGGATATGTCCACAACCAAGGCACTTGAGTGGAATTGAACCCGGGACCCCCCAGTCTGCAGACTGATGCTCCATCCACTGAACCAAATTGGCCAGGACAATAGTAGTTATTAGTTAAATTATACTCTAATTTAAAAAAAAAATTTTTTTTATTGGTTTTAGAGAGAGAGGAAGGGAGAGAGAAACATCAATGTGAGAAACATCCATTGGTTTCCTCAAGCCCGCAACCTGGGCATATGCCCGACCGGGAATCAAACCAGCAACCTTTCTGTGCCCCGGACAATGCCCAACCACACCAGCCAGGCCTTTCCTCGGTTCTTTTTGCCTGGGACACAGGTCAGGGAGGTCTGCACCCCTAACTCCTGCATTGCTCAAGGTCAGCTGTACACACACATTTATAATTTTGTAATTGGTATACTTTTAGAAGTAATTGAGATTCAAGCTCCATGTTTTCTTCACATATTTTACCGAAACTAGAAAATTTAGAAAACAGGTAAATAGGAAGTAAGAAATAAATGATTCATACCCACCATGCCAGCAGTAACTCCTATTGTTAACTTTTTTGGTGTCACGATTTGCTAGTCTGCATTTGTAGCTAAAATAAACGAAAAGGAAGGCAAAAGATACCAAAAATTTTCATTGAAGTTTGTTGGTAAATGTCTAGGATATGTACTAATTTTATTTCAAAAGATTTTAAATCTCTTTTTTGTAACTTGTCTAGGGAAGAGAAAACACAGAAGAATCAGTGCTGGAAGTCTCTGTTCATTGATACTTATTCTGATGTAGGAAGATACATTGACCATTATGCTGCTATTAAAAAGGCCTGGGATGACCTCAAGAGATATTTGGAGCCCAGATGTCCTCGGATGGTTTTGTCTCTTAAAGGTACGGTGAGCCACCCAAGATGCTAAGTAAGTTGTTTGCCGTCACAAAATAAAAGGCAGAACCGGGATTTCAATGTCGGGCTGATTTCAGAGCTATGGTCTTAACAGTTGAAGGCAGAACGGACCTATTTATCCTGTTATTTAAAATATCTTAGGACCTTAGAGAGCTCATCCAATATTAGAACATTTGGAATACGAGGATGTAGACATTTCTCCTTTCAGGTTCAGAGTTACCAAGAAAGTAGGATACAGAGTAACTTCTTTTTTCCCATTCAGTTTGGTATTCTGAGGCCTCGCTGCTCACCGCTCTGTTTCTGGTGATTGGAAGTCAGGTTGTTGTCAGAGAATTCCTTGGCAGCCCCTGTTTTACTCTCAGGTGTCAGTTGTCTGGGGGCTTTGCCCTGAGTTGGAATAGGACGAAGGCTCTTTGATATCTGGAATGTAGGGGATTCTAGGAATGCCAGGCCTGTGCGTCCTTCTAGGACTAAGTCAGGAACCTCCTCCTCACCTCAGTGGCTCAGTCCCTGACTCATTTTCAAGGCACCTGCTAAGGAAACTGGGAAAGCAGATAAGGATTGGGCTTGGGAAAATTTTTATAAGTATCTTGAAGTTATGATACATTAATTTGGGACATACCATATTATGTCAATTTTTGGTACTAGCCCAAAACTAGAAATAACACAAATATCCATCAACAGAATAAACCTATAAAATGTGGTCTGCTCAAACAATATATACGTTGGTGTCCCAAAAAATGTATACACACACTTTGAATAATTATAACCCCAGCATTTATTAAAAGCTATTTCATTTTCAGAATTGAGCTATCAGCTGTTAATTATATATGCATTTTGGGGGGGACATTCTGTGTATCTTTTATTAACCTACCTAATGGTATGTATCATGTATCTTCAAATTTCAAATTTACCTTACATGTTGGCTCAAATTTTTAGAGTTGGAGGGATTTTAGAGATCACTTAGACCAGGAGTTAGCAAAGTTTTTTTTAAAAAATGACCAGATAGTAAATATTTTAGGCTTTGAGGGACAGACAGATGGTGTCTTGTTTTAACTGTTTAACTCCTGCTGTCGTTGGAGAAGGCAGCATAGGCAATACCTTAACAGGAGTGGCACTTTTCCAAGAAAACTTTGTTCACAAATCATGCGGCAGGCGAGGGTTTGGCCTGCAGCCTAGAGGTTGCTGCTCCCTGATTTATACCAGCCCCTCATTTACAGGTGAAGGGACAGGCTCAGAGAGTCTAGGTGACTTAGGCAGGGTCACATAATAGTGAGTGACAGGACTCTCATCTAGATTTCTTGGCTCCTAGTAACTTTTTCTTTCTTTTTTAAAAAATTTTAAAAAAAATATATATTTTATTGATTTTGTACAGAGAGGAAGGGAGAGAGATACAGAGTTAGAAACATCGATGAGAGAGAGAGTCATCGATCAGCTGCCTCTTGCACACCCCCTACTGGGGATATGCCCGCAACCAAGGTACATGCCCTTGACTGGAATCGAACTTGGGACCCTTCAGTCCCCAAGCCGATGCTCTATCCATTGAGCCAAACCGTTCCCGGCCCTAGTAACTTTTTCACATGCTCCTCATACAAGCAAGCTCGGGGGCAAGGGAAGTAAATGGATATTTATTGAGAGCCAGTAAAGCGTGTCACTAAGCACTTGGAGTTTATTTAATCCCCACTGTAATCCTCTCAGGTAGGTGGCATCTCCCATTTCACAGGCCAGGAAACGGGATTAAAGAGAAACGCTAACTTGCCAGAGTCAGGCAGTAAGCGCAGAGCTGAGCGTTCACCTGATCTGACTCCCAGGTTCTCTCGTAGCTGCTGCCTCTCTAAACCTTGGCTGCGCTGTCTTGAAAGCATATATTTCTTTATACTTTTCTTTTGCCATATTTGTTTGTTTGATTGGTTTTTGGCTTTTAAAAAATGTCTTTCTCTCTAGCTGCCTCTTTTTAAAGAAATTCGAAGTTTCTTAATGTTGTATGGTCCGGGCAGTTACTCAGTTTGTTTTGTATTACAATAAACGTTTAAAAATAAAGTTTCCATTTTGGAGTAAATTGAAATTACAGGAAAGTTGCAAAAAAAAAAAAAAAAAAAAACAGTACAGAGAATTCTTGTATACTCTTTACCCAGTTTAAGTTTCCCCTGATGTATTGCCTTGTGGGACATTTGTCAAAGCTAAAGTCTTCGTTGGAAAATTATTATTAACTAAACTCCAGACTTTATTCAGATACCACTAGCTTTTCCGATAATGTCCTTTTCAATTCCTGTATCCAACCCAGAATACCATATTGCGTGTGGTATGTCCTCTTAGTGTCATCTGGTCTCTGGCAGTTTCACAGTTTTTCCTTGTCTTTCATGACCTTGACGGTTTGAAGGAGTACCGGTAAGTATTTTTAGAATGGCCCTCATACTGACTTTGTTCGAAGTATTACTCATGACTAGATTGGAGTAATGGGTTTTCAGAAGTTACTGCAGGGGCGCCGGGCACTTCATCACGGACTGTGGGGCTGTGATACCCACACGCTCTCACTGGTGATGTTAACTGGCCTCCAGAAACATGCGCAGATCGAAAGTGCACAACTCAGCCGAAACCGGTATGGCTCAGTGGTAGAGCGTCGGTCTGCAGACTGAAAGGTCCCAGGTTCGATTCCGGTCAGGGGCATGTACTTTGGTTGCGGGCACATCCCCGGTAGCGGGTGTGCAAGAGGCAGCTGGTCGGTGTTTCTCTCTCATCTTCGGTGTTTCTAGCTCTCTATCTCTCTCCCTTCCTCTCTGTAAAAAAAAATCAATAAAAATGTATTTAAAAAAAAAGAAAAAAAAGAAAGTGCACAACTCTGAGTGATCACAATGTGAACACACCCATTATAGCACCCTACAGGTCAAGACGTAGAATAATCTAGAACCTTCGCCTCGTTCTCTCTCAGGGGTAACCACTCTCCTCATTGCTATAGCACTGGGTAGTTTTCTCTCTTTTTGAACTTTATGTAAATTGTATGATTAAGTATGTATTTTGTATGAATTGTTTCCTTTTTTTTTTTTTTTTTTAATTCAACTGTTGTCTCTAACAGTAGTTTGTTCATTCTTGTTGTGATATAGTACATTGTTTGAGCAGACCGCATTTTATAGGTTTATTCTGCTGATGGATATTTGGGTTATTTCTAGTTTTTGGCTAGTACCAATAATGCAATGTAAAAGAACTGTAAATAATACAAATGTAAATCATTTTTTATGTACATACGAACTTATTTCTACCAGGTAAACACGTGGGATTGAGTTTACAGCGTGGTAGAGTGTGCTTATATTAAACTCCAAAAGATACTGTTCATTTTTCAAAGGGATTCTACCACTTTTACCTTCCTGCCAGCACCTTCATGTTGTCATTCTTTGTATTTTCACCTTTCTAGTGATGGTTTTAATTTGCATTTCCTTGAGTATGTACATTTACAATAGTTTTATTTTTAGCTTTCCAATCCTTAGATGTTATTTATTTCTTTTTCTTGCCTGATTGCACTGCCGATGGCCTTATTAGACTGTCTAGGGCAGTGGTCAGCAAACCGCAGCTCGCAAGCCACATGGGGCTCTTTGGCCCTTTGAGTGTGTGTGGCTTTTCCACAAAATACCACGTGCAGGCGTGCACGTACAGTGCGATTGAAACTTTGTGGCCCATGCGCAGACGTTGGCTTTCAGCTCTCACAAGAAATTTCATTCGTTGTACTGTTGATATTTGACTGAGTTTTGCTGACCACTGGGATAGGGCCTTCAGTGCAATGTTGGAAAGATATGATGATGTAAGCGTCCTTATCTTTCTGTTTGCAGAGAGAAAGCTTTTGACATTTCTCTGATGATGTTTGCTGTACATGTTCTTTATCTGATTGAAGCAAGTTCCTTCTGATAGTAGTTTAAGAGGAGTTATTTTGTTTTTGTGTTTTTGATCATTGAATTTTTATCAGATGTCTTCCAGTCTTGTGATTATCGTGATCTTTCTACTTCATTCTGTTAATGCACTGAGTTACATTGCTTGATTTTCTGAATTTTAAGCCATTATGCAAATAAACTTATTTTGGCTGTACTATATTATCCTTTTTCTATATTGTTAGATTTGATTGGCTAGTGTTTGACTGGGTTCTTACAGATATGTTCAGGAAAGAGTTTGGCCTGTAATTTCCCTTTCATAAATGTCCTTGTCAGGTTTTGGCATTAAGATGATACTGGGCCCAAACCGGTTTGACTCAGTGGTAGAGCGTCGGTCTGTGGACTGAAGGGTCCCAGGTTCGATTCCGGTCAAGGGCATGTACCTTGGTTGCGGGCACATTCCCAGTGGGGGGTGTGCAAGAGGCAGCTGATCGATGTTCTCTCTCATCGATGTTTCTAACTCTCTATCCCTCTATCTTCCTCTTTGTAAAAAATCAATAAAGTATATTTAAAAAAAAAAAAGATGATACTGGTCTTGAGAAACAAGTGGGGAAGTGTGGCCTCTTTTTTTCTTTCCTAGAAGAGTTATGTAAACTTGATCTTATTTTCTGTTAAATGATTAATAGCATGCCCTGATGAAGCCACTCAATCCTGGAGCTTTTATTGTAGGGAGGGTTTAAACTAAGGATTCAATTTCTTTTTTTTTTCTTTTTTAAAAAAAAATATATTTTATTGATTTTATACAGAGAGGAAGGGAGAGAGATAGAGAGACAGAAACATTGATGAGAGAGAGTCATCGATCAGCTGCCTCTTGCACACCCACTACTGGGGATATGCCCGCAACCAAGGTACATGCCCTTGACCGGAATTGAACCCGGGACCCTTCAGTCCCCAAGCCGACGCTCTATCCATTGAGCCAAACCGGTCCCGGCGGGATTCAATTTCTTTATTATAAATAGTATTCAGATTTTTTTTTTTTTTTTTACTTATTTTCATGTCAGTTTTGATAAGTTGTGTTTTTCTAGGCAATTGTCCACTTTATTTATATTTTAAATTGCCATAAGTTTTTAATAAAATGCTCTTTGTAATGCTTGTTGGAGGAGTAGTGATTTCACTTTCCCGTTTCTGGACTCATTTGTGCTTCCTCTCTGTTCCTCTTGTTCATTCTTGCTAGGTAGGGGCTAATCAATTTTAATAGTCTTTTCAAAGAACTGGCATGTGCTTTTGCCAATTCATTTCTTATTTCATTAATTTCTCTGATTTCTTCTAATTTAACTGTCACTTTTTTCCTTATTTGAGATGATTTAGATAATAAATTTTCAGGTTTTCTTATTTTTTTCAAATGTTTTTAGGGCTCCTTAACTGATTTGGCTCAGTGGATAGAATGTCAGCCTGCACACTGAAGGGTCCTGGGTTCGATTCTGGTCAAGGTCACATTGCCCAGGTTGCAGGCATGATCCACAGTGTGGGATGTGCAGGAGGCAGCCAATCAATGATTCTCTCTCATCATTGATGTCTTTATCCCTCTCTTCCTCTCCCTTCCTCTCTGAAATCAATAAAAATATATTTAAAAAATGTTTTTAGGGCTATAAATTTTCCTGTGAACAGTTTTAGCTTCATATCACAAGTTTTAATATGTTGTATTTTCATTAACATGCAGTTCAAAATATCTTCTGATTTTTTCCTTGACCCATGGATTATATAGAAATATATCGCTTGATTTTCAAACATGTGGGATTTTTTTTTTAAACAATTTTTTAAAATATAATTTATTTTTAATTCCACTGTTATAGAATATATTCTATAACTCTAGTCATTTGAAATTTGTTCTCTGGTCCAGTGTATAATCTATCTTGGTAAATGTTCTGTGTACACTGAAAAGAGTATATATTTTACCATTAATATACACATATCAATACATAAATACACACACACACACTCACACACACACACACACACATATATATATATATATATATATATATATATATATACACACACACACATAAAATTCACATATTTTTGTAAAATTAGGCAAAACTTTTGATCTTGAACTCTTATTTGGGGGGGCTACTGATTCTATTAGTTACTAACAGAGATATGTTGAAATTTCTCACTGTAGTAGGCAGAGTTTGAGAGAGTTCTCATGATTCCCACAGTCTCTGTTACATGCATGGTATAAAGTCTCCCCTGGTGTGTGAGTAGACTGGATATAATTTCTTTCAGCTCTGTGGGTGGTCACGTTATATGACAAAGGTGAAAGGGTTTTGCAGAGGTAATTAAAGTCCCAAATTTGTTGATTTGAGGAAATTATCCCGAGTGGACCTGAACTAATCAGGTAAGTCCTAACAGGAACTGGGCCCTTTTTGAAGTCAAGGAGATTTGAAGCTTGGATATTTCTCCTGTTGGCTTTGAATACCCAACTGGCATGTGTGGAGAGCCCAGGTGATAGGGAAGGGCCGGTGGCTTCTCGGAGCTGAATTCTGCCAGGAACCAGTGAGCTGGGAAGGGGACCCCAAGCGTGAGGTGCAGACGGTGAGATAGCAGCCCGGTTGACATCATGGTTTCAGCCTTGTGGGGCCTGAGCAGAGGACCCAGTTCAGTCACGCCCAGATTTCTGACCCACAGAAACTGTGAAATAATGAGGAGTGTTTAAAGCTGCTAATATGGTGGCACTAGAAAAAGAATACACCTGCTCTGATTATAGATGTATCTTTTCCCACTTTTCTTCATTGTAAAAATTACATTTTGAAGCTGTGTTATTAGGTACACGAAATTGGAATTATATTTGTGTAGTGAATTGAACCTTTTTGCCATTATAAAAAGTCCTCCATTATCTCTAATAATGTTATTTGCTTTAAATTCTAGTTTGTGTGACTTTAGTGGCGCTATCCTAGCTTTCTTCTCTCTATCTACATCTTTAAGAGGTGCCTCTTGTATATGATCATGTTTATCTGATGTCAGTCTGTCTTTTAATTAGATTATTTACTCCATATTTAATGTGATTATTAATATATTTGAATTTAAATATACTGCTTCTATATGTTTTTTTATTTGTGTCATCTGAGTAGGTCTTTCTATTTTGCATTCTTCTTACTTTTATTCTGCACTCCCTCTTTTTATTTAATAAAAGTTTCTTTTAAATTAATATGTTTAACATTTTCTGGACAACGAATCTTTTCTGTTTCTCTTTATTGTTTCTTGCACCTTCATGCTTCCATCTGGGATAATTTTTCTTCTGCTCGAGAATTCCGTGTGTGTGTGTGTGTGTGTGTGTGTGTGTGTGTGTTTAATAAGGGATCACTACTGCTAAATTTTTTCAGATCTTTTTTGGCCTAAAAAAGTATTTATTTCATCTTCACTTTTGATGTATATATTCACTGGATATAGAATTCTTGTCAGTAGTTATTTGACTGAGCACTCTGAAGGTGCCATTCTTCTGGCTTCTGTTTCTGTTGCTGTCAGTCTTATTGTCCCTCTGAAGGTTCCTTATGTGGCATTTCCCCTTCTCCGGCTGCTTTGAAAATTTCTGTCTTTGATTTGCCATGGTTTTCCAGTTGTGTGTCTAGATGTGATTTCCTTTGTAATTATTCTCCATGGAGTTTATAGTGCTTCTTGAATCTGTGGTTTGGTGTTTTCATCAATTTTGGAAAATTCTCTCAGTCCTGTGATAGTGTTGAAAGCATTGCTCAACCTCTCAGCCACGCAGCCTCGTGTTTGCTTCCAGAATTGGCAATTGCCTCAAAGGCGAGGTGACCTCTTTGGAGGCCTGGCTACCCTCTCAGCTTCTCTCTTCTGGACCCCTCACCCGACCCTGTCTCCCTGCCCTGGAGGTTTTCCAAAAGCCTTGAAACCAATTTTGTGTTGTTCGGTTTTTCTAGTTCCTCACAAGAGGTTTGATCCAACTACCTGGTGGACCATTGCTGAAAGCAAACCTCTTTTCTTGGTGTTTGTGATTATTTCCTACTTTTTCAAATTAAAATATGCGGCAGGCTTATCAACGTGCAAAATTGAATTTAAGTTCATGGCCACCTCGCAGCATGAACATATACACCAAAGTCCAGTAAGAGATTCCTTTAAGACTCTTGGACAATAGTTTAGAGAACTTCTGGAGATAGTTTTTAATGAGAAGTGTGGGCATACTAGATTAAGAAAAAAGAGAGATGCCCTCATGTTTGCATTGCAACGTGAACAATTATTGTGGATTTCGTTGGCGCATACCTTTCCATCGTTTACTTAGTGCCAGTGTTTCCCTACTGAATGTGCTTGCCCAGGGCTTCAGATGTCAGCCAGTCTGAAGCGATAAGTTCCTCTGAATTTTCAGTTCACTTCCCTCTATTTCAGCAGTGCATATCGGGCAGAACTCCCTTGCCCTAAGGTCGTTTCACTGGCCAGCAGGAAGACTGTATTTCGTCTTGGATGTAAGGCTTATTGTCTCTTCATAATTTGCTTTCTTGTGCATTTGCAGAGGGCGCTCGAGAGGAAGATCTCGATGCTGTGGAAGCTCAGATCGGTTGCAAACTTCCTGATGATTATCGATGCTCATACCGTATCCACAACGGGCAGAAGTTAGTGGTTCCTGGGTAAGACGCTTGCTGTTTTTGATTGTTTTTAATGCTACAACTTATTTTCTAGAAAGAAAAGAAACAAACTGTAGTTGTTTCTTAGTAGATGAAATAGCACAGGAGTTCCCTTTTCTTCCTTGTAGCGATCCGCAAGACAGAGTCCCCAGCTTGAATTTGACTTGACCGAAATAAATGTGCCTCATGAAAACCTGATCTTTGAACGAAGTGGAGTCTGGGTGGGTGTGGGGCAATGCGACACGAGGGAAATGCATGTGGAGGTACATTTTAGCTGACGCTGTTCAGCACCCTTCAAGCGTTTATCCTGTTTACAGCCAGATCATTTGTTTTGGCGCAAATTCTGTGTGCCATACATGTGAAAACAATAACTTGTTCAGAACTACATGTACTAAACTAAAAACCTTATAGTTTTGTCCTATTCAAGCATGGCCTATAATTAAATGACCTATTTTAAACTTCGAAAAGATGAAGTATTCATCAAGGAACCTTTCAGGAAAAACAGACCATGTAGTTAGCAGGTGTCAAATTCACTCACGGTTTTAAAAACCATATGTTTTGAACGGGTGTACACTTTTTTTTTTTTTTTTTAAATGAAACTAAGCTATTTCAGTGACATTGCATTTGTGCGATGCCAATAAGAATTCAGGGAGAACTTTGCATTGTTCTTACTGGGACACCATGTCTCGGTGTGTGAAGAATCCCATGAGGCTCTGTTTCCATTTCAGGTCTGAATACTACCTTGCAGTCTCAGTATGATCACCTCCTACATTCCCTGTGCTCTCTCTCTTACTGAGTACATTTCTGCAATATGGGCAGTTAGGACTAGATAACCCTAAGTTTTTGGCCTTTCCCCCCCTATTTTTCCTATCAAACTGAAATTTGACAGAATTGAAAAACTGTCACACTTCAAGAGCATAGCCTATAATTAGAGAATTATAGGCCAGAACTGACATGCCAAGTAGGCTATGCTTTTCAACACGAATTTCTATCTATCCCCTGCCCAGTGGGGGGATGTGGGATAGGAATCTCATCAAGGACCCACACCTGAGTTACTCTCATGCACATGCAGTGAGATGAATTTAGATCCCATGCATTCCAAGCTAATGAAATGTGGTTAAGGTTTAGGCTGATTAACATGTATACTGCCTAGTAGGATAGAGTAAGCTAAAGGTTGTAACAACATAAAGGTATCAGAGAATTTATCCCTTGAAACATTAAATTAGTCATACAGGTATATATAGCAAAACATAAGAAAATCAGTTTATCATAGCAAGATAGGTTCCAGAATGCAATAAAACTATTTTTTTTTTTAAATAAAGCTGACGCACATTTTAGACATTTAGGATTTTAATTTAAATCAATCTTTCCACTCAAGAGTTTGGCTGTAATGTATAAGTTATCGTGTTTTGGGCATTTCCGGTTTAGAATCGACATGTTAACCAGTTCTTCTAAAGTTGTCAGTGTGAAATTATTCATGAAGAAGATGAAGCACAGGTGTTTGTTTGGCACTGCAATGGATTAAACTCTTGAGTGTCTTCTCAGGTTGTTGGGAAGCATGGCGCTGTCCAATCACTATCGTTCGGAAGACTTGTTAGACGTGGACACGGCCGCTGGAGGCTTTCAGCAGAGACAGGGACTGAAATACTGTCTCCCTCTAACCTTCTGCATACACACTGGTTTGAGTCAGTACATAGCAGTGGAAGCTGCAGAGGGCCGAAACAAGAATGAAGTTTTCTACCAATGCCCAGTAAGTAGGGAGTGTGCGTTAAGTGTGGCTTTAAGATGTGTTCTGATGAGCATACACAACTGTGAGCATTAGGAATTTTCAGGGTTGTTGAGTGGGTGTAGGGCATTATGCAATTTAATTATAGACCTAGCTAATCAGACACGGTGGCATGGGATGCCAAAAGGAAATGTTACCAGTGGACAAACTGTGGTTCATGCAGACACAAAGCTGTGACTTGTATGAAGGCATTTTAAGTTTAAGGAAAACGAATAAGCTTTTTGTTGAAGTAATTCATTATAATATACATTTCTAACTTTAAAATTTTAGCTTTTGAGCATCATTTGATCCAAGGGCAGTAGGAACTTTTATATATATATATATATATATATATATATATATATATATATATATATATATATATATATATATTATTGATTTTTTACAGAGAGGAAGAGAGAGAATAGAGTTAGGAATATCCATCAGCTGCCTCCTGCACACTCCCTACCGGGGATGTGCCTGCAACCAAGCTACATGCCCTTGACCGGAATCAAACCCGGGACCCTTCAGTCCGCAGACTGACGCTGTATCCACTGAGCCAAACGGGTTAGGGCGAAATAGGAACTTTTTAAACTCTTCAGTAGGTCTTTGAGTTGTTGAAAAATGAAGATCCTTTTTAGAAGACTTTTGTTATGATTTTAGTATTTTGTTTGTCTTATTTCTTCAGTTTTCATTAATTTCTTAGTAACAACTTCTGCTTTCATATTTACTTAGCTGTGAACTTTTAACTTAAAAGAGAAACTTAAATACTTTTTATAGTTATCTGAGATATGTGACTCCATAAAACATTTAAAATATTTTAAGAGCCTTCAAAGCTTTTCATTTTTCTAAGCATTTTCACATCTTTTACCTAGGTTTGGCTTGATGCCTCTGTAAGGTTATAGGATGATGGCTTGATCTCTTTATAGAGAAAAGTGACTAACCTAGAATTCTTCAGGTTTCTTGAATCCAAAGCCTTTTCTCCTAGGATAGTAGCTGTATTTCTTCTTACCTTAACTTCCTAACGCTTTTCCTAAAGGACAGTTTTTTTGGTTCGTTGTCACAGTAATAGCAGTATATAAGCATTTAATTGCGCTTTTTAGAAAGAACCTAAATATTGAAATCATGAAGCAGAAGCTGACAAGTGTGAGGAATGCCCAAGAATTTGGTTGGAACACTTAAGTTATTTTATATTTGTTTTGCCTTTTCTTCACGGAAGAGTACAAATAATGAACAATGGGAAATTAAGAAAATGTATTTTTATAATTCTTTTTTTTTCCTTCTTTCTCAGAACCTAGTTAATATAAGGTGATTCCTCTTGCCTTGGACTCTTTGGGGAGTGCAGGCCTATCTCATTTTTAAAATTCTTTTTTAATAAAAAATTGTGAATTTATTCAAAACAAAACACATGGTGGAGAGTATTTTTCTTAATTAAAATATTCTTTTTCTCATCTAGGACCAAATGGCTCGGAATCCAGCTGCTATTGACATGTTTATCATAGGTAGGAGAAAAAAAGTTTTATTTTTTCCTTTTGTCAAAAATATTAAATTGGTAGAAACTTTTTAGTTACTTAGCCAGCTGACAATTTTATATTTGTATTTCTTAAGGCTTGCTGGTTTAAAAAGTACTATATCTAGGCACTCGTTAGAATAGCCCTATACTTTATTTGAATTTGGTTTCTATTTGGAAAAAAACCATGCCCTATACAATCTTGTGCTCTAGGACTCTATTATAGAACACTAAAATGTGTAGAATTAATATGAGTAAGTATATAGTTCCCTTACATGCACTTGTATTTTCCATCACTCATATTAATACATAATTAGAGATGTAGATATATAAAATTACTTTGTACTTTCTTTTTTTTAATGTTGCATTTAAAAAAAATTTTTTTTAATTGGTTTTTAGAGGGAGAGGGAGAGAGAGAAACATCAATATGAGAGCGAACATTGAGGGGCTACCTCCTGCTCGCCCCTTACTGGGAACCAAGCCACCACCCAGGCATGTGCCCTGACTGGGAATCAAATTGGCAACCTTTTGGTGCATGGGTGCTATCAACTGAGCTACACTGGCCAGGACAGTACTTATTCTCTTTTGGTGTCGATGCTGTAGTAAAATACTGTTAAATAACACTAGATACCTCCAAAGAGCAGTCTTTGAAAACCAGTATAAAATGGGCTTCATGAACACTTTGGTACAACTAGCTTTTCTAGGCCTTAAAGGGGTATTTCTCAAAGGATTTGAGAAATTTAATTTGTATGCAAGTGCTGCTCACCTCTTTGCTATTCAGTTAGTCTTGTTTTGCTTAAATTTTGCTCACTTAAGAGAAGCTTGCTGACTATCCACTCAGCTTTTTAAAGGTACTCCTGGCACATGTCAAACATCCCCATAGACCAATAGTAAAGGGGCCTTGCAAGCTAAGGCATCCGTGTTTAATTATTTCCTCTAATTGGAAGCTTGAACAGAGTCTATACTGCGGCATATTCTAGATTTTGTGGCTCACTTCACAATATTAAGCTCTCATGCCTACGTAGAAAGTTATAAAAAGCTTTGACACTTAGTCCCTGGCTGTCTCTCACCCTGACTCATGTGGCCTGTGGTTTCTAAGTGAAGTACTTGCTGGGTTTTGCTCCTGCTCATTGCCCTCTTTGGCATCTTCGCGTGGCACGTACTCTCAGAGGTGATCACCATGCTCTGGTGCGTGGTGCTGCTGAATCCTGAAGGAAGCCACCTGCCAGGCTCTGTGGGTCTGACACGGGCTGGGAGACCCGCCCCTGCAGCAGAATACTGAGTCTGATAATACCGTTCTGGAGGCTGGGGTTTCCCCTGGAAGGGAGAGCAAAGCGAGAGATTTGAGATGAGATGGGAAGTTAGTGCTGGGAGGGAAGATGAGAAAGCAGTTTCCTTCAGGCTGCCTCGATAAAGCCCCAGTGCTACCCGAGAAACTCAAGACGCAGGCTGACTCTAAAAGGTAGACTACCTTGGAACACAGAAATTACATCTGGGTCATGTAGGTTTGACAGTCTTGGGATTTTTAGTAAAACATAAGATGGAATCTCCTGGAGTCCAGTGCGTTGTTTTTTTGTCTTTTTTTAAATATGGAACGCTTCACAAATTTGTGTGTCATCCTTGCACAGGGGCCATGCCAATCTCCTCTGTATCATTCCAGTTTTAGTACATGTGCTGCGAAGCAAGCACTTCAGTGCATTATTTTTTAAAAATATATTTTATTGATTTTTTTACAGAGAGGAAGGAAAAGGGATAGAGAGTTAGAATCATCAAAACATCGATCAGCTGCCTCCTGCACACCCTCTACCCGGGATGTGTCAGCAACCAAAGTGCTCTTGACCAGAATCAAACCTGGGACCTTTCAGTTCACAGGCCGACGCTCTATCCACTGAGACAAACCGGTTTCGGCTTCAGTGCATTATTAATAGGTATTTAAGAAAACTGGATTCTATATTCAGTTCAAATAAGTTTAGGAGTAAGGAATACAAAGGAAACTGTCCTCATTTTAAAGAACACACTTTGTTCTAATACGTATTATAATAAATTGAGGTACATTGAAATCTACTACACCAATTTCTTTTTTTTTTATGTAAACCATGAAATATGAAAAATGACTTTAAAACTCTAAGGAAAATGATTAGATCTCATGACATAAAATTGTACCTTCTTTGAATTGTAATGCCTTTGTTAATGTCATTAAAGATAGGCTTTTTAATATCTTGCTCCAAGTAAACACATCATCAGTGTCATGTTGAATACAATAACATTTAATAAATAGGGAGTTATACTGGGCCATTTATAGACATTAAGAACCAGCTATTGTAGTGTACTTTCTCCCAGTTGATGCCTTTAAAACTTTACAGCTATGTACCCTCAGACCCCAGCCTAAATCGTATCTTCTATCATTCTCAAAGCAGAATGTGAAGTAAATGCTGTAAATTTAGCATCTGACATTTAGCATGGGGGAGGATAGGAACTGGGTTGATAAAAATAAGATTACAGAGAAATGCACTGGCAGCACTGGTTAAGGGACTAATGTACACTAGTCACTGAAATGTGTTAACAGTAAGGGGATCTGAGAAAGTTATACTGTATTAACTAGAAGGAGCAGGCATAATTTATGTAAATGCTTGTTACTGACCCAATCACTAGATCAGATGAATGGTCTGGACTGGACTGTTCCAGTCATTCTTTTCCGCTTCAAGCTGCTCACTGAGAATACAGAGGCCCGCTGTGCGTTTGGATCTGCAGTAGCGCACCTAACCTACTTTGGGATTGGTCTGAGCCCATAACTCCTGTTCCATGTCCAGACTGAGCCTGAGTCAGTACGGACCTGGAGACTGGGCATTCCCTGATTGTTTGAGGATAGGTGCTGATATTGTTCCTGTAGTTTCTTCCTAGATGTAGCCATGCCTTCTTTGTTCAAGGAATTACATTCAGAAAGCTTTTCATTCCTGTACCAGAACAAAGTAAAGGAATCTGTTATTTGATTACAAGTGTGAAAAGTACTTTGAAGCTAGTTGGAGGATTTCCTAGCAAGGTTGTTAGGAAGAAGAGGGATAGAAACGAGACTAGACATTGTCCTGAGAAAGGACTAGTGGAATCGTATCTATAAATGTTTCTGGGTTTGGCATCACACCTTACACGAAGAGAAAGTACAATTGTTTCCTTGTTTCCTGCATGGATTTTACAAACACGATTTGTCCTTTCCCCCCTTTTCTGGTTCACAGGTGCTACTTTTACTGACTGGTTTACTTCTTATGTCAACAGCGTCGTGTCAGGTGGCTTTCCTATCATCAGAGACCAAATCTTCAGGTATCTCACTTGGGGCTTTTTGGGATGGAATGATTGTAATAAGCAAAAATCACCAGTTACAGATCATAAGATGAAGTTTCCCAGGAAGGTTCATAACCGAACCTCTCATCATCATAAATCTATTCTATTCTCATTTTAAGGCCAAAACATCCAAACACTTGAACAGCCAGTATTTTTCTTACTTTGAAGACTCAAAAGGAAAAACTGATTTGGTATAAAAGTTATGGCTTTTTAGTAATTATATAGCTTCTTTTTAGGGGGGAAAAAAAAAAAAAGCTGTTTGCCAGTTAGTGGATTTAGTATGAATAGTAAGTTAGTAGCTATTAACTTCTAGCAAATATTTGTTATCTCTAAATGGAGCATCCAGATATTATAGATAGTATTAGAGATAATATTGGTTTATAGTAGCCTGTTGGCAGAAATGATAGATTAAGTATACATTAGAGGCCCCTATAATAATATACTAACACATTTTTATGATCAGAACCACTGTTTGCAGGTATAGCTGGTCCCCTGAATTTACTCAGCTCTGAAAATGGGGACAGACTCTTTTTAGTTTCCAAGTAAATTACTTTATTGCCCCATCGCTGATCCGGAGTCTTCAGAGCTTTCTGGTTTGCTTATAACTTCTAGTTTTCTTTTAAGCTTAATAAAACTATACCTTTAAGATCGCAAATGTGATTTAAATTTTCAATCCTGAAGCTATTTTGCATTGTATCTTTAAACCTTTTATCTTCTAGAATTGAGGTCAGTTGACTAAAAAATGTTTAATTTTTTAAATTTTATTTACCTAGATATGTTCATGATCCGGAGTGTGTAGCAACAACTGGAGATATTACAGTTTCAGTTTCCACGTCGTTTCTGCCAGAACTTAGCTCTGTACATCCACCCCACTATTTCTTCACATACCGAATCAGGTAAGACCGTTAGAGGGGGTCACTTTCCAGCTAGGCATGGGATATGGCCTCAGGATGTGTTGTTATTACTGCCCCATTTGATAGAAGATGTAAAACACATTTTGAAAGGCAGCTTCTTGCTGATACAAGGAAGGTGGGTAACAAAGTTTTGTACAGTATAGTCAGGTTTCTTCCCTGCTTTTACTTTTATTTGTATTTATTTTTTTAAAATATATTTTATTGATTTTTTACAGAGAGGAAGGAAGAGGAATAGAGAGTTATTGTAGAAACACCGATGAGAGAGAAACATCGATCAGCTGCCTCCTACACCTACCCTCCCACCCCCCCCTTCTGGGGATGTGTCCACAACCACGGTACGTGCCCTTGACCGGAATTGAACCCAGGACCTTTCAGTCCGCAGGCCGATGATCTATCCACTGAGCCAAACCGGTTTTGGCTATTTGTATTTATTGATGCTGAATTTACTCTGGAGCCATAAGTTTTTCTCCAGTGTCCTCTGGGGTATTTTTCTGGTTTAGGAACAAGCTGCCCTTTTTCAGTGGGATCATCTCGGTGTGGCAGGGAGAGCTAATGTGTGGTGAATCCGCCCACAAGCGCTGTAAACCCTGCTCCACAAACCTGGATGTGCTCAATGACCAGAGAATCTACATCTACACCCTTACGTTCAGCATAACTTATGCATTTTTAAGCATGGATAGCAAAATTCAGCACTTCTCGACCATGGACCCTGTGTCCAGCCCCACTGTTTGGCCTGGGCACACCTCCCAACCCCACCATTGTAATGACGGAATGGCGCACACTGCTTCTGTAAAGCAACATTCTTCAGATACGTGGTGGTTTTTAAGATATGCATGCATTTGGTGGCATAAGCAGTTTTACCAGTATTGCTAAAATGAATACGAAGATTTTAACCTCTTGATTTGCAAGATTTTGTGGGGTTTTCTGGGTCAAGTGAATAATTAACCATCAAAGATCACTTCAGGCTGTTTATGGGAAGAGAGAGTACAATATAGTTTATAAAATACTTTGAGTTTATATTAACCCCTAAATTGTTTCTTGAAAATACAAATATTGTGCCAGGCACTTTTCAAGGTGGGCCTCTAAGTTGTAATCATATGGAAAGATCAGAATTGGAGTTGTAATGTTTTTGGGAAGCTATCAAATTGCCCAAGGTAATACCATGCTTTTTATATTTAACCTGATCTGTATCTATTCAATTAAAAGTCTAGTATATATTTATTGAGTGCTGCCTGGATATCAAACAGGGTGTTAAGCCCTGGATTTGGCGAAATAAAAAATATTAAATTCACTTTAATTAGAAGTATTCTCTGCTGTGACATGAAGACAACTCATTGATCGAAGGGACTAAGGATACTTGGTCTTTAGATATATTTTATATACTTTATGATGTTATATAGGGGGATGTATACTTCCCAGGAGCATCGTAGAATTTTAGTATTGTATGTAGCCTTTGACGTGTCTAGTTACACATGCACAGATGTTTGTTGTTTTAGATCTTGCCTAGGACTGAGACATGCTTAATTAATGATACATATGCTGATAGGGTACTCAAAATGAAAACAAGAGACAGCAGATTCCCGGAGGAAGGGAGGATAATAGTATTGGGAAACAGAGTCAAGGTGATGCTAGTAACTGAGCAGTGACATTTCGCTCTGAGCTTTGTAGAAGCTAATGGAGAAAGGGAAATGGGCCGCATAGCCCTGTAGTGAATAAAAGCCTGTCATTTTTTTTAGAACGGAAGTTTTTCATGCACTGTATTCTAGAAAGTGTTTCCCATACTGATCTTTATTTGAACAAGCGTGTTGTAAGCACGGTGTTTGTGAATTTTTATGTCACCCTTTCTATTGTTGATCCTCACTGAAATCAGATGCGGGAGTTGCATGAGAGCATTCCCATGAGAGAGTTAGCTAATCAGGCCGATATCTTTGAGAACTTCCGGAAATAGATGGTGAACGAAGATTTTGCAATTTTGGAAATTCCCTTTATGTTCTTAACCCAAATGATGTAGCTCTTAAACAAAAGAAACAAACAAACAAAAAGGCCTGATTTGTGTCTCTACCACCCCATTTCCTTCTCCAGGATTGAAATGTCAAAGGATGCACTTCCTGAGAAGGCTTGTCAGTTGGATAGTCGCTATTGGAGAATAACGAATGCTAAAGGTGATGTAGAAGAAGTTCAAGGACCTGGAGTAGTTGGTATGTAATGCAAGGTTTGGTTTATACACCAGTAGCATCTAAGACCTTTTGGAGAGCGCAGCTTAGACATGCATGATGTAATTGGTGGATATGACCGCTTCTTTTTAATAGCTGTGTTTACAACGTGAAAGATGTCATAGATTCTGGGCTTCTCCTAACTACAATACCTTGCTTCATAACTATAACGTATAAATGTTATTATTCTATCAGTTTAGAATCTTAAACAGAACTTTTCTAAAATTATTGCAAGGGATTGAGTTGACATTCTGTGAATCACCTGGGTTCCTTGCTTTTCCTTCTTAAGTTCTTTTCTTTCCCACTGAATAATTATTCATTGTAATATTCTTTAGGCAGAGAGCAGAAAGAGAAAATAAATTTTATATCTGTCATCTTTTGAAATTTAGGGGAGAAATGTTAAAATTAATAACAGCTTTTTTTTGTTTGTGGATTTCAATCATCGCTAGCTTGATTTCCATTGACATTATAATTATCTTAAGTTTCTGAACCTTTAGATTCTTCAGATTTTGTATTGTGCTTCAGAAAAGTAACATTATTTAAGCTGTGCACTTCTGATATCGGACGTAAGCATGTACCAAATTCAGTTTAGACTAAAGTTGTTCTAATTTATTGACATGAATAAAGCCATGTTCTGCATGTTTGTTTAAGGAATTTTTCCTGAGTTGTTTGGGGGGATCTAGTGTTAAACAATTGTATTAAAGCTGTATTTCTTTTTCAATAATTTGGTCCCTTCGAGTAAGAACTCTCCTTTGTGACTGCCAGTTTGTCTGGGCTAAATGCTTAAGCTGCATGCTCAGAATTTGATGTTTTAGCCTGTTGCTACTTTTAAACATTTAGATTATCCTTATCACTGTTTAAACTAGTGTCCGTGACACTTATTACCCATATCTTAAAGATGGTGTCTAAAACGTTCCAAAGCATTTTGAAAAAGAAACTATTCCTTTCTTATTTTGCTTTATTCTCCTAGAATTCCCCCACCCCGCCCACTCGCCGCTGTAGAGAATTAGAGGGATTACATAAAAAGCCAAAATACTCGTCATCCCATCACTCTTAACATTTTGCTGTGTTTCCTTTTAGATTTTGTTTGGAATTGTGCATTTACTTTAACATACTTTACACACTCCCATAGAGGACATATCTCATTTGCTGTGATGGAGAACTGGATTTTATGCTTTAATTAATGGTTACCACTTTCTCTGCAGGTGAATTTCCAATCATCAGCCCCGGTCGGGTATATGAATACACAAGCTGTACCACGTTCTCTACAACATCGGGATATATGGAAGGATATTACACTTTCCACTTCCTTTACTTTAAAGACAAGATCTTTAATGTGGCCATTCCCCGGTTCCATATGGCATGTCCGACATTCAGGGTGTCTATAGCTCGATTGGTAGGTTAAATTTCCTCTGGTGCTGATTTACGTAACTTTTTAGAATTGACTCCACAGAAGGTCTTTGTGGATTAGCCAGACAAATAGTTTATAAATTGGGTTCCAGAGAACCCTAGGAATTTTGAGGGAAGTACCTTGGGGTGGGGGGACATGTGAACATGTGGGCGGGAGGGAGGCAGACCAGAAGGAAGCGAGGCTCTGTACTCTTCAGTCAGAGAAACTCTGCTGTTACCTGCTTTTGTTTATTAGTTTGTTTTTAATAGTTTTATTTTTTAGAGCAGTTTTAGATTCACAGAAACATTGAGCAGAAGATATAGAAATTTCCCACACCATATTTCCCACCAGAGAGGTGCCAGTGTCACACTATGGAACGTACACTGACACATCATTATCACCCGAAGTCCACAAGTTACATTAGGGCTCATTCTTACTGTTGTATGTTCTGTGGGATTGGACAGGTGTATAATGACATGAGTCTACCATTAGTATTCTGTAGAGTAATTATTCGTTTTAAATGTCTGTTACCTAATGGGAAACACACTAGACTAGTTAACATCTGCTTTCTTTTATTTCATTAAGACAGGGAAAACAATTTTCTTACAGTGTTTTTGTTAAAACTCCCATTTTGTAAAATAATACAAATATCCTATAGAAATTATTACAAAGGATTTAATGGGTAGACTTGTACTTTTAGTAGTCTCTCGTTGGGATCATTTCCTAAGTCAGCTAGGTATATTTTTTAAATCTCATTTTTAGGGTTACCTTCAAGCAGGTTTAGCAGTAACCCCAAGCTTACAGGCTATAAAATGATTACAGACAATTATGAGGCTCTAGTTATATGATAGGGATAAAATGTGAATTATATACCCAGAATGTAATTGAGTTGTAGGCATCAAATGTTCACCAAAACCCTCTGGCTCCTGGGATGACCCTGAGGGGAGGCGCTAACCTAAGTCTGGGAAGATGGACATGCTATGAAGCTGACCCAGAGTTGACACGTTCACAGCTCCAATTTATAGAAAGAAGGATGATGATGAGACTTAGGCCATGATACCTGTGTCATGTCTGTGGAAACAGTCTACAGGCTGGGTTTGGAAGTGAAGTTGAGCCTCCCATCCAGTGGAGGCGTGCTTTCTACTGTTTATTTCCAGCACTAGGCGTTTGCTGCTGTTGGCAGTCTTCCATTTGGACCAGCCCAAGTTCTGTATGAGGTTGTTAATATCCTTAAATGTTTTATATGATTTATCGGTGAAGTCATCTGGGGCTGAAATTTGCTTTGTGCAAAAGTTTTAAAATATGAATTTCTTTAATATTCATATTTTCTGTTTCTTGTCCACTTTGGCTAATTTGTGTCTTTTAAGGAATTTGTTCATTTTGTCTAAAAGCTGAATTAATTAGCATAAAGTTACCTACAATATTGATAATTCTTTTCCTCTTTTGTTCTTCATATTGGTAATTTATATCATTTGTTCATCAGGTTAGCTAGTGGGTTATCACTTTTATTGATCACTTAAAGGAACAATTTTTTACTTCACTGATTTTCTCTATTGTTTACTCATTTCTATTTTCATTGACCCCCCTCCCCCCAGCTTCTTAAGGTAGAAGTTTAAATTATTGATTTTAGACCTTCTCTGTAAGCATTGTTTTAGCTGCTCTTCATAAATTCTGACGTTATGTTTTCATTAACATTTGGTTAAAATATTCTCAGATTTTCTTATAATTTAGTTTTGATCAATGACTTTTCTAGAAATGTGTTAATTTCCAAACATTTGGAGATTTTCCAGTTATCTTTGGGTTGTTGATTTCTAATTTTGTTATGTTTACAGAACTCATGGTGTGTAATTATTTTATGGCCCAGAATTATGGTCTATCTTGGTAAATACTTGTGTATTTGAAAAGAATGTATATTCTGTTATTTGGGGGAATATTATTCTATAAATGACAGGTTGTGAACTGGTTGATTGTTTTTCAAGTCTTTTATATATTTACTGATTTTTTTTTGTCTTTATTCTCTGAGAGATGATTGTTGTGATTTCCAATTATAATTAAGTTTTGTCTACTTCTCTTTAATTCTGTCAGGTTTGCTTCATGTATTTTGAAGCTCTACAATTATGTGCAAATATATTTAGGATTGTGCCATCTTTTTAATGAAGTGCTTATTTTATTGTTATAAAATCTTTTATCTATCTCTGAAAATGCTCCTGTCCTAAAGTTGCTACTATTCCTGACATAAAATGTAGAGTGCTGAGATTTATTGAGTCAGGTAGCTATTATTGGGTCAACTTGATCCTGTTGAGGCTTTTTAAAATGTTTGTTAGGGTGAGTATAAAGTAGTCTTTACTTAAGGACAGTCATTTCAAACTTTTCAGTCTCATAACCCCCTTAAGCTTTGAAAAGTTATTGGAGAATCCTCAAAAAATTAAAAATGTTTTGAAACTATACAATATGACCTAGCAATTCCAAAAAAATAAGACACTAATTAAAGAAATATATATGCACCTGTATGTTCTTTGCAGTGTTATTTACAATAACTAAGCTATCGAAGCAATCTAGGTGTCCAACCATAGACGAACAGATAAAGAATATGTGTGTGTACACACATACACACACATACACACACACACACACACACACACACACACACACACACACACACATACACATACACATTCTAGAGGTCCAGTGCACAAAATTTATGCACTGAGGGAGGGGTGGTGTCCCTCAGCCCAGCCTGCACCCTCTCGTAGTCTGGGAACCGTTGAGGGATGTCTGACTGATGACTTAGGCCCACTTCGGAGTAGGCCTAAGTCATCAGCTGGACATCTTTAGTGCAGCAACAGAGGTGCCTCTGCGCTCACCAGCCGTGAGCCGGCTTCTGGCTGAGTGGTGCTCCCCCTATGGGAGCACACTGACCACCAGGGGGCAGCTCCTGCATTGATGGTCAGTGTGCATCATAGCAACTGTTCATTGTGCCGTTTGGTCAATTTGCATATTAACCTTTTATTATATAGGATTACTCAGCAATAAAAAAGAATGGAATCTTGCCATTTGCAACAACATGGATGTACCTAGAGGGTATTATGCTAAATGAAATAAGTCAGGCAGAGAAAGACAAATGCCATATAATTCCACTTATATGTAGAATCTAAAAACAAAACAAGTGAACAAATAAAACTAAACACAAACTCATAGATACACAAGTCAGAGGGGTGAGGGGTGGAAGGATGAGCAAAAAAGTGAAGTGATTAAGAAGTACAAACTGCCAGTTATAAAATATGTCACAAGTGCAGCATAGAGAATATAGTCAATAATATTGTAATAACTATGTATGATGACAAATGGTTAATAGTCTCACTGTGGTGGTCACTTCATAATGTGTGTGTATATATATATATATATAATGTCTAATCACATTGTTGTATACCTGAAGCTAATATAATATTGTATGTCATCTATACTTAAAAGAAAGTTGTGAGGACTCCAAAGAACTCTTGCTTATGTGGGTTATATTGATACTTATGTTAGAAATGAAAACTGAGAAGTTTTATAATATTTACTCACTCCTTTTTTAAAGTTTACAAATTTTAAATTTATAATTTAAAATTACAATAATAAACTCATTACATGTTCAACCCTCTCTTAACTATGTTCCTACTTATTTAGAGTTCTAGTGTCTTTCCAATGACAAATAATAGTATATAATCTTTACCTGCTTTAAGGAAAATGTTTGTTTTTTCTATCAGGGATGAGAAAACAATAAAAAGGAATGAAAATTCTGGACTTATTTTCTAATCAACATGAAGAGGCAATGTTGGGGGGCAGTTGTACTTGTGTTTACCTTTCTGTTTAAATATTCATTTTCTTTTTTAAAATATGTTTTTGATTTTTAGAGAGAGAAATATGGATATGAGAGCAAAACATTGAACGGCTGCCTCCTACGTACTCTCTACCGGAGATCTAGCCCACAACCTGGCATGTGCCCTGATCAGAAGTCAAACCGCAACCTTTTTTTTTAAAAAAAATATATTTTTTATTGATATTTACAGAGAGGAAGGGAGAGAGGCAGAGAGCTAGAAATGTCGATGAGAGAGAAACATCGACCAGCTGCCTCTTGCACATCCCCTACTGGGGATGTGCCCGCAACCAACGTACATGCCCTTGACCAGAATCGAACCCGGCACCCTTCAGTCCGCAGACTGACGCTCTACCACTGAGCCAAACCGGTTTCGGCCAAACCGCAACCTTTTGGTGTACAGGATGACACTAGCCAACTGATCCACACCAGCCAGGGCAAATATTAGTTTTCTAGATATGGAAATTGAATTGTTCTCCTTTTGTGTCCTTTAACAATATGATTAATTGGGGGACTTGCTCCTTTCTTCTGCTCTATACTCTGAATGCCACTTTAAAATATACTTTTAGTTGGTCTTTTCCTGGGCTAGGTGGTTTGTTTATCTTTAGACACTTTTGAGGTACCTACTGCTGATTTATTTCCTTTTTTGTCTGTGCCATTCCTCTTTCCATCTGCTGTTTGTGTGTGTACAATTTTATTTGTGATCATCAGCAATCTTCTTCTTTAGGCACATTGATTTCTTCAACCATTTTTGTTTTCTTCTTCATTAAGATAATAACCATACTACCTGAATTTATTGTTTCATAACTTTTTAATTCTTTCCTTCTCCCCTAGTCCCCTTTTCCCCCTCTTCCCAAGTCTCTTTTGTACCTGCTATTGGATTTCAAAGTCTTCATTCCCTAGATTAAAAAAAAAAAATCCAGAGATTAAAGTAATGGATTATCTTATATCATATTTACATATCTTTGATTGTTGTTGTTTGTGTTATAATAAATTCCAGTGACTATTCCTTGGACAAATCCTAAAAGACAATACATTTCTCCCACATTAATGAATTCATTTACTCAACCAATATTTACTGAGTATCTACCAGGTGCTGGTTAAAAAAATCTCTGCCTTGGAATTCACATTCCTGTTAGAATAGACAAAGGTTAGCAAATGAACACATGTACTTAGGTCAAATAGTAACATGTGCACTGGAGAGTAATCAGAATAAAGGGGATCAGGGGTGTCCCGTTGAGTTGTATGACATACAGATATGTCAAGAATGGCTTTTGTGACACTTGAGTTGAGGCTGGAAAGCAGTAGAAGGAGCTCTTGGATGTATGGGTGAACGGGGTTCCAAGCTAAAGAACAGCAAGTGCAGAATCGCGAACCACGGATGTGCCTGGTGTGTTTGAAGAACTGCCAGGAGGCCAGGGTAGTGGAGGGAAGGGAATCCAGAGTGGACGGGGCTCAGATCAGAAGGGTAGAAAGGGTGCTGCATCATGAAATGTCATAAAAGCCTTGGTGGAAGGACTGTCGCTGGCCCCACATTCGAAGTTTCCCAGCCTTTCTCACATTACCAACTAGCCTCTCCCCTTGCTGTTCAGAATTCTGTTCGATATAGCAGTTCCTCTCATTGGGTCTGCAAACGTGTGAGAGAAAGTTGACAGCAGAGTAAGTCATTATTGATAGAGGAGGCACTGCTTAAGAGGAAGTTTGCAAGTGATGCTCAGATATTGCCTAGTTAACGTCACCATCGCCCTATGCTGAGAGCCTCTGACAAATTCATATAAAAGTAGAAGCTACCAATGGGTGGTTGAATGGAAATGATGTGTCTTGTTGACAGTACCTAAAAAGTACCAGTGGAGGTCATGTCATACCTTGTTCATTTTTTCACATCCTTTTTGTAAGCATGCAGATGAAAAATTGTTACTGAAATCACTACTGTGATAAATACAGTAGAATTTTCTTTTGAGTAGCTAGGAGTGGTCTGTTTGCTACATTGTATCTGAATAACAATGACCATGTAAAAATAAGCACTATATTAATGAAATATATCTACCATGAAAACCACATTGAGCACTTTAAGACATGTAATAGGATATACACTGGAATCCGTATGTGCATTATGGAAACGTGCTGTTCAAGCCGATAAAAATTCCTACGTGGCATGTTTGGTTATCCAGTCTAGATAAAGGAGATACTTGCATTAAATAAGTATAGAAAAATGATGGAAGTTCTTATCAAAAGACTGTTTTCTCTTTCAAGGAATTGAGTCCTGACGAGTATGAAGAGATGGAAGATGCAGAAGAAGAGGAGGAAGACGACAATGTCTTGACAGAGATGGAGGAATCTGATGAGGATGACACGGAGGCCAGGCCCAGGAGGCTGTTCGATGTCCCCATTCGCAGACGCCGCTACTCCCGCCTCTTTTAGCAAAACTCCGCCAATGGGAGCGCGGGAATGAATCCAGCCTGTCAAACAGATTTCTCAATGATGTACATAACTAAATTGTCCTCAGTGTATAGCAAGAAAACTAGCATGAAATATTGTTCTAGGCCCTGGGTTCTATGCAACTGATTCTTCATTAGGAATTGGATTGTTTGGGTTTACTTTATACTTTGGAGGTAGAGGAGGAAGTGAAATCTCCCTCTCTCTCTCAATCTCTCTCTCTCTCTCTCTCTCTCTCTCTCTCTCTCTCTCTCTCTCTCTCTCTCTCTCTCTCTCTCTCTCTCTCTCTCCTAGAAGTCAATGGGGGAATAGTTCTCTAGCTAAGGAATGGCTCTCTCTTTGTTGAGACATATTTTATACTTCTAAAAATGCGGAAGCGGGAAGGAATTGTTTTTGAAGATTTAAATCTAGCAGAAATACCTACCCAAGGATAGAAACTGTGACTGAAAAGTTCTGTGAAACGATTTCTTGCAGTTGTGAGTTATTTAGAAATGAACATAATTTGTAATTAGGCTAATCCATTTAGTGGTTCCTATATATTTTGTACTCACAAGGAACTAATTGACTAAATAGCTTGAATGCTGGTTGTTTTGTCCTTTCTTAGACAATCTACCCTTGAATCTAAAATTTTTATTGCTATAACCTTGAATTTAAAGTCTTTATCACTATAACCTTGACTTTGAATTTAGTCTTCAACTCTCCCATCCTTGAACTTAAAACCTGCAACACCGCAACCTAGAATTTAATTTAAAGTCATCAACATTAATAACTTTGATCGTATTGTTCACAGATGCATCATTTTTGAAATGTAGATTGTAAAACTATGTATTGTGTTTATTAACAGAAACTTCTTCACAATGTCTCATGTAGTCTACATTTGTAAATACTGCTTCTGTTTTGTTTCTCCTTTATACAGTTGACTGTCTAACTTTGTGATAAATGCCATGAATTTTATGTTGAGATTAAGTATGTTTTTCTGAAACATGAATTTTTTGTTTTGTAATTATATAATTGGAAGTTTGGAATGAAGTTCTCCAAGTGTCAAAAACTCACATTTTGAAAACAAATGTTGGTTCTGCTGCTGTATTTTGTATAATTGCCTATTTTCCATAAACTAATATTAGTAGCTTTTGTTCGTAAGATGGAAGAGGAGATGGAAACTGATGGCCTGTCACTAGAGGTCCATTCAAAGTCACTTCCTGGCTTTACCTTGTCAGGTACCCCACTTTCCATTTTTCCCAGGACCATCTCTTTTGTGGAGAAAACTGTAGGAAGAGGGAGGTGTGTACACAGGGTGAAGCAGCTGCCATCAGAGACCATGAAACAAACTTACCTTTCACATTGGCACATGTCAGAAGGTTCTGAAATGGAGTGAGTAGTGTTTCCTGCTTATTATTATTGTTTTGTTTAGTATTATCTGGTTGTTAAATCTTTCTATTATGTCTATCTCTTCTTTTTAATCAACCCACTGATTTTTAAAATTTTATTTTTATTGTTGACACTATCACAGATGTCTATCCTCCCACCCCCCTCTTCTTGCCCACTTCCACCCAACCCCCAGCCCCCGTTCCCTCTGGCCATCACCACACAATTGTGTCTTTGGGATAAGCATGAATGTTCTCTGGCTAATCCCTTTACCTTCTTTCATCCAGTCCCCTCACCACCGCCCCTCGGACAGCTGTCAGTCTGTTTCATGTAGCCATGACTCTATTTTGTTTGTCAGTTCATTTTGTTCATGAGGTTCCACATACAAGTGAGATCACATGGTATTTTTAAATTTTCCCGCTAAAGCAAGAATTTAAAACTAGTTAATGCTGGGAGTTAGAGCTGCCCCCCTCCCCCCCCTTGCCATATGTGTTTCCTTTTTCTGCATGATCTCTCCTTTCTCTCAGTTCCCAGAGCATTCTCGATGCAACTCCACCAATCCTTGCTTCTCAGAATGCTTTAGGCTTGCTTATCCTCTCATCAAATTCACATTCTCTTAGCTGAATGAGTGACCTCTAGTTCATACTAAGGTATTAATAACAAGCTCAGCTTTTTTGTTTCAGTGGCAAAAAGATGCCTTCACACATAAATGGATCTAATCGTTGGTCACTTTTGATGTAAGCCATCTTTATCTCTGGCTCTGAGTTCGCTTGAGAACCCCTATTCATTTGTGTAATACTTCAAGCATCAGGGTGAAATGGGTACCTAACAGCATTAACAGCTTAGGGTTTTTATTCCTCTTGTGAAAAGTCAGAGGTAACAATCCAGGGCTGATACGGTTGCCTAATGGTGCCAACATTCCAGATCCCTTCCATTTTTCTGTCCTGTCATCCTTGGCACAAAACTAATCTTAAAGGTCACCTCATGGTTGCAAAAAAGAAGCTGCGATTGTATTGTGTTCCAGGAAGGATGATAAGAATTTTTTTTTTTTTAATATCAAACATAAGACTAGAGAGGTAAAGCAGCAGGTCTTCAGCACGATGGCTAGAGAGGGGACGGGGGATGCAGAAATGCTAGAGAGGGGACGGGGGCAGCATGGAGACCTAATTATAATGGCCCAAGTTCGACCTGCTGAAGGTCTGTCTGACTTAGGGCAGTGCAGGAGCAGTGAAGAGGCTGTGAAACTGAGATAACTAAATGGTGAAACAGACTGGAGTTGATTAGAAGCGAGGGAGTAGGAGAAATCAAAATTGATTCCCAGCTTTCTGGATTCATCTACTTGGGGTTGGGGGACAGAGAACAGCCGAACATTGGAAATGAGTTCAGGTTTGGACACGTTTGAGTTCAAGATGGCTGTGCCACATGTAGGTGGAGATGTCCGGTGGTCAGCTGGGTATGAATATGAAGATTGAGAGAGTGGTCAGGGCTGGAGAATAAATAATAGCAAACCATCTGCAAACAAAGTGGAAGCGCTAGAGTCTCCCAGGGAGCACATATCAGCAATGATTCTCAGTCCCATCCATCCTGGGCACTGAGCTTAGATTATGTGTGGGTCGCGGGAACTGGAAACAAAACCAGGAGAGCTTGGCATCTCAGAATCCCGAGAGTTTCAAAGAGGTAACAGCTAATGAAATGCATATGAGAGAGTGCATCTGAAGAGCTTTGTAAACAAGCTCTCACTGGAAATGCATGCTCAGCTGATTTAAGCCCTGCCAAATGAAGCTCATTTCCTGATGTCGGGAAGCCATCAAAAGATCCTGGCAGGAGGAACACGTCACGATCAATTATGATTTTCCTGGCTTGAATTTTACACCGTGGCCTTACCCTCCTGACTCAGCATAAGCAGCCATGAGATGCAATATTTACTTACCCTGATCCTCAGTCCCCCGACAGGCCAATGATTTTTTGTTCTCCACCTCCCCCTCCCCCAACACACACACACTCTTATATTGATTTCAGAGAGGAAGGGAGAGGGAGAAAGAGAGAAAAACATCATTGAGGAGAGAGAATCATTGATGGGCTGCCTCCTGCATGTCCCCTGTTGGAGATCAGGCCGTAAACCGGGCCCATGCCCTGACCAGAATCCATCCCTGACCTGGTTCAGAGGTCGAGGCTCAACCACCAAGCCACACCAGCCAGGGCCAATGTAAGCATGTAAGCCGGTAACAGAGTTTTATCTTTAAAAAAAAAAAATTTATATATATATATATATATATATATATATATATATATATATATATATATATATATAATTATAGAGAGGAAGGGAGGATAGAAAGCTAGAAACGAAACATTGATCAGCTGCCTCCTGCACATCCCCCACTGGGGATGTGCCCACAACCAAGGTACATGCCCTTAACTGGAATCGAATCTGGGACCTTTCAACCCTAAGGCTGACTCTCCATCCACAGAGCCGAACCGGTTTCGGCCAGAGTTTTATCTTAATCTAGCCATGGCCTTGGGTCTCAAGGCCAGTGGCTGCCCTGGAGCCTGCAGCCTTTGCTTGTCTGGTTGGTAATCTGGATTCCAGGACTGGGGCGCGCAGGGCGGGGCCGGAGCCGGGGTTTGGCGGGGCCAGAGCCTGGGGGCGGGACCAGAGCCGGGGCGGGGCGGGGCCAGCGCGAGGAGGCGGAGTCCGCGGGCGCCCAGCATAAAGGCGGCCCACCCGCACGGACTCCGCGGCGCTGGAAGCGGGATCCTGCGTGCGCTACGAGGTAAGGCCTGGCGGTGGACCGAACCGAACCGCGCGGGGAGCTCGGCAGGCTCGTGCGCCCCGGGGCAGCTGGGCCCCGACCGCCTCCCGCCCCAAGCGGGCCCGAACCCTGTCCCTTTGCGCGGGCCTCCGCGCCGTGGAGACCGCCCCAGCTTTTCCCCAAACCCCGGGGCCGGGTGTCCTCCGAGGCCCTGCCCTGCCCTCCCCGGAGGCGCCCGGCTGCACGCTTTAACGGAAAAAAACCCGGCTTTCCCCTTTTCCAACAAAGAAAGAGGGGAGCGCGGGCACTCTTTCCCAAACACCCCAGATTCCGCGGGCCGTGCACTCTATTCCCTCGGGAATATTTTCCTGGACCCTGATCACGGAAGGGAAGGGAGGCCCTTGCCGTTTAGGCCAAAGAAATTGCGCCCTGAAAGGAGGTTAACGCCATCCCTTAAGGGTCACAGACCTGCTCCTAACGGACAGGTCCGCATGTTGAACTTGAATGCACCGGGCAGTGCTGGAACCAGGCATTTTAGGTCCACGTTTGGTGTGAAGTTCTGCTTTGTTGTGTTTTTTTGGTGTGTGTGTGTGTGTGTGTGTGTGTGTGTGTGTGTGTGTGTGTTTAACGTTATTTTTATTGTTGACACTGTTCCGATGGAGGTTTTGTCTTCCCGGGCCGGCTTGGGCTGCGCTCTAAATAGGATCTGACAGCCGACTTTTAAAGAAACGTCACATCGTGACTTGAATGGTTTTTAAGGAGAAGCAGGCCCTTTAAGGACCCTGGAAAATGTGCCCACTCACTGAATCCATTTCTCTGACACGTAGGAACCTTTTTGATGGAAAAAATCTGGCTCCCCCGCCAGCC